ATAGTAGTAGTAATAATAATAGTAGTAACAGTAGTAGTAGTAGTAGCAGCAGTAGTAGTAGTAGTAATAATAGTAGTAGTAACAGTAGTAGTAGTAGTAATAATAATAGTAGTAACAGTAGTAGTAGTAGTAGCAGCAGTAGTAGTAGTAGTAATAATAGTAGTAGTAACAGTAGTAGTAGTAGTAATAATAATAGAAATAACAGTAGTAGTAGTAGTAGCAGCAGTAGTAGTAGTAATAATAGTAGTAGTAGTAACAGTAGTAGTAGTAGTAGTAATAATAATAGTAGTAACAGTAGTAGTAGTAGTAGCAGCAGTAGTAGTAGTAATAATAGTAGTAGTAACAGTAGTAGTAGTAGTAGTAGTAGTAGTAGTAGTAGTAGTAGTAGTAGTAGTAGTAGTAGTGGAAGTATTTATAAATAAAATAAACTAATAAAAAACATTTAATTGTTTGGAACGATTAAACAGTTATTGTTGTCATTAGCTAGCTTTATGAATTGTCGCAACATGCTTATGAATGATTAACTAAATAAAATTATACGTACCTATAGGTATGTGTGTATTTGTGTGCGTGGTTTGGTGTGGCAGTGTGTGTGTGTGTGTGTGTTTCTGTGAGTCTGTACGTGTATACATGTGAACTTAGTTACATTTTTATTAATGTATATATGTATGTAGTTGTGGAAGTAATAGAATTAATAGTAGCTGTTAGCATAAGCAACAAAAGCAGCATTAGTAGTAGTAGCAGTAGTAGAAGTAGTAGTAGTAGTAGTAGCAGCGATAAGTGCATCAGTAGCAGCAGCAGAAGCAGCAGCAGTAGTAGTTGTACTGCAAATTGTGAAAAACAGGTTTGTAATGATGAGTGGGATGGTGATGGGAATGTTGAAAATTTATATTTCTGTCATCTCCACGTCATGCGAGAATTAAATTTGTTTGTGCATCTACGTATGTAGGTGTGTGTGTGTGTGTGTGTGCGTGTGTGCGTGCGTGTGCGTGTGTGCGTGCGTGTGCGTGTGTGTATATATGTAGAGATTCAAAACTTGATATGGGTATTTGCTTAGGCTAAATATACTGTGATATATAACGCATGTATATGTGTATTTGTCCGTTTAAATACAAATTTGTACGTGTGTGTACCTGTATCCAAGTTTGTGTACGTATGTTTGTGTGTGTGTGTGTGCGCGTGTATGTGTGCGTGTGTAAGTGCGAATGTGTAAATCTGTACCATTTTCCCAGTAAACGTGTGAGCGTGTGTGTAAGTGTGAATGTGTGAGCATGTGTGTTTGTGCGTGTGTGTGCGTGCGCGCGCGTGTGTGTGTGTGGCGCGTAGAACAAGCTTTATTGTCTCTTCTCATTTGTCACTTGGTGTCTTTTTGCACGGGTCTCCTCTTCAATTTGTTTAGCATGCAAATGAGTGATGTTGTGCTACCAGCCTGCTACATCCACTACCACTACTACTGCTCCGTTTCTGTACTGTTGAATGAATGAATGGATGAACAAACGAATGAATGAATTGTTTGATGGATGATTGAATGAATGAATGAATGAATGAATGGAATGAGTGAATGAATGAGTGAAGGTTTAGAGAAAGATGTGTAAACAAAGGAATGACAGTCCTTCTGATTAGTTAAATACAATTGCAAATAAACTTGTGAGTGATTGTTTGATTGTGACTATATATATATATATATATATCAATATATATATATATAATATATAATATATATATATATATATATATATAGACCAAAAAAAGAAAGAGTGAATGAACGAAAGAACGAACGAACGAACGAAGAAATTAACGAACAAACGAAGAAATTAACGAAAGAACAAACAAACTAATAAATTAATGAATCACAGCCGTAGAGGCAGTAGTAGTATTGTTGTTTTTTTGTTTTATTATTACCATTGTTATAATAATAATAATTATTATTATTATTATTATTTTTATTTTTCTTATTATTGCCTGCGCGGAACATTCATCCATCACGCAGTTGTAGAAAAAGTAAGAATTTTTATTATTTTCTTGTTAGAGTGTACAAATTTTTCTCTCTTCTTTGACTAGTAAAAGTTTTGTGAGAATTGGCCTGCACGCTTGCACGCTGCCTTGTATTATCTCGCCTTGACTACTGCAACTCTCTGCTATATGGAACTCCGGCCTATCTAATTTCTTCTCTTCAGCTCATTCAAAACAGACTGGTAACCAAACTTGTTTTAGAATTATCTCGTTTGTCTTCTAGTATATCGTCTCTTGCTCACCTGCACTGGCTGCCGATTCATCAAAGCATCAAATATAAAATTGATGTCTTCACATACGAAACATTAAACACATCTCAGCCACTATATCTTCTCAAACTCTTTCGCCTTCGCTCATCTGTTAATCATCACCTTTGTCTGCCGTCATCATTGTAACTGCATCAACCAGTCAATAAACCAGCTCTCGCCAATGATGGTTTTTCATACTGTTCACCGTCAATACGGAACAGTTTGCCACTCATCATCATCATCCATCAACAATCATCGATAGAAACGTTGAAGAAGCGATTGAAGCGACGGCATCTGTTCGGACAGGCCTTTGCTGGCCGTGCTGACCTTTTGTTTAACCTGGTGCCTCTGACGCTATGCATAGGGCACATTTATATTATTGTTATTTAGTTGGCTGTCGTAAATAGGATGATAATGACGATGACGACGACGATGATGATGACGATGACGACGACGATGATGATGATGATGACAGATGGTCTTGATGTTTGAAAATTACAAACTCAACTACTAATGGCGAAGAGGAAGATGATTATGAGGAGAAATTCAATGTTAACAATTATCGAATTCTTTAATTAAAATTAATCGGATGATCATGATGATGATGATGATAATGATGACGATGTTGATGACGATGACGATGATGATGATGATGACGATGATGATGATGATAGGAACAATGATAATAGTGTTGACGATAATGATGATGATGGTGATGATTATAGTGATGATGGAAATTTCGATAATTTTATTTATTTAATTTTTTTGATTGACAAATTAGATAGATTAGAATTATTATTTTTCAATCTAAGAAGAAAAAATGGTTGTCAATCATTTAAACATGTCTCCATATTTTTCTGTTTTTCATCTTTACTTACTCACTCCCTCTCTCCCTCTTTTTTCTCCCTCTTTTCTTTTTCTTTTTTCTCTCTCCCTTTTTCTCTCTTTTTTTTCTCCCCTCTCTTTCTCTCTCTCTCTCTCTCTTTCTTCCTTTCTTTATAAATTTGTTCTTTGTTTCCTTCCTTTTTTCATTTTGTTTTTCTTTCTCTATCTTTCTCTTTCTTTCTCTCTCTCTCTCTCTCCCTCACAATTTTTTTTATATTTTTTTTACCTATCTTCTTTTCATCCATCTCTCGTTCCCTGCCGCATTTTCTTTTCTTTTTACTCGTAACTCTATTAACTTTACGTATGCATCCACATGCATGGCTTATATATTTTTCTATCTATGTATAGATGAATTAATGAATGAATTAATGAATGAACGAACGAACAAACGAAATGAACGAGCAAACGAAATGAACAATCAAACGAATTTATGAACGATTGAATGGATAGATGAATTGTTGATTGAATTGAATGTACGGTAAAAGCAATGGAAAAAGTTGTGAACATTTTTTAAAATCTCTTTTCAGTTATTCTCGCTCCCCTTCTTCTTTTCTCTCTCTCTCTCTCTTTCTTTCTCTCTTTCTCTCTCTCTCTTTTTCTTTCTTTATCTGTATCTTTCTTTGTCCAATTCTTTTTTAACTGTTTGTCAATTTTTCATTTTTTATTCACCTTCCTCTATCTAACTGTATATCTGTGTATCTAACTGTATGTATCTAATTGTATATCTATGTACCTAACTGTATATCTATGTATCTAACTGTATATCTGGGTATCTAATTGTATATCTATGTACCTAACTGTATATCTATGTATCTAACTGTATATCCATGTATTTAACTGTATATCTACTTATTTTTGATTGTTAATTTTTTTTTCTTAGATGTTTATTAAGCAAAAAATGTATCCTATTGATTTCTATATTTTCACGCAAGTAAAACCTTATGGTGCTTATTAGGAACGTGCGTATGTGCACGTGTAGTAAAATTTGTCTATTTAAACCCTCAATCTATTAGAGAATTATTCTCGTTGAATTTTATCTCCTGAGAAGAAAAGTTTGAAGGGATAATTAAAATTTTAGAATAAATTTTATAAAAAGTTATTTACAGGCACTTAAAAATGACGGAGATGACGAAGATGATGATGGTGACGAACATACTGGGGCTGATGGCGATGTGCTCTGCAAATGTTGAGTCTGGCTCTATTACTCGCGAAAGTTTGAAAATCTTTTTATTTTTTTAATTAATTTCTTAATTAATTAATTAATGAATTGATTAAATATTATTTATTCACTCATTTAATCATCTATTTATTTATTTTGGATTAGTTAATTCATGATTAACAAATCTAAATTACAACAGCACGCATAATAAAACTTCGAGCAATTTTTCTAAATGTTTCGTTAAATTTTTTTAATTCAAACTCCCCCAAAATCAAAATTCAACAAATTCAAACATTTCCTCGCGAAGCAGTGGCTGTCGATAGCGGATTCACGGGCTACTACAACGACGTCCCACTATATCCGGATTCTGGCCACGACGAATTTCAATCCGCTGATGAGGACTTCGACCACAGTCAGACCTTCGATGAGAATGATGGTAAGGAAGAGTTTAAAGATGCCAAAGTGGTGATCGCAATTGGCAAAGCCAACGAAGTTAAAATTGTTGTTGAGGAAGGTTCTGATAATGATGCCGACATTTCAAGCAGTGGTAGTCAGGGTGTTGGTGATACCGGAAGTGGTGGTTATGGAAGTGGTGGTTACGGAAATGGTGATTACGGAAGTGGTGGTTACGGAAGTGGTGGTTACGGAAGTGGTGGTTACGGAAGTGGTGGTTACGGAAGTGGTGGTTACGGAAGTGGTGGTTACACTGGTGGCTATAATTTGGGTGATGGCTATGGTGACAACAGTGGTGAGAGTGGCAGCAGTGGCGAGTATTCTGGCGACAGTGGCGAGTATTCTGGCGACAGTGGCAAGTATTCTGGCGACAGTGGCAAGTATTCTGGTGACAGTGGCAAGTATTCTGGCGACAGTGGCAAGTATTCTGGCGACAGTGGCGAGTATTCTGGCGACAGTGGCGAGTATTCTGGCGACAGTGGCGCGTATTCTGGCGATAACGGAAGTGGTGATGGTGGAAGTGGTGATGGTAGAAGTGGTGATGGTGGAAGTGGAGGGAGTGAAAGTGGTGATGGTGGAAGTGGAGGGAGTGAAAGTGGGGATGTTGGAAGTGGAGGGAGTGAAAGTGCAGATGGTGGAAGTGGAGGGAGTGGAGAAAAGTAAAATTCCGTTTAATCTGAGCGCCGAAGTTTCTTCTGCCATCAGTGATGTTGAGGATGTTGATTTCAATTTTTTAAACATTCAACATTAGAATGCTACCTAATATTTAACGAACTAGTAACGGACAAACTTGAAAAAAAAGAAACTTTTAAAAATATTTGTTAACAATTTATTCATTTAAAATTTTAATAAAATTTTATGTAATAAAAAAAACCTCACTTGTTTTTTTTCCAAATTATTGAAACAATGAAATTTCTAAGAATAAAACTGTATTAAGAACTGCAGAATTATGAAAAAATAAATAATTGACACAATTTAAGTGACATTTTTCAATATATTTGCGATAATCACACAAAAATTCAAATTAATACAACAATTCTATGAGACTTCAACAGAATTATTGTAAACAAAAAATTTTCAATTTGTAAAACATTTCATCAAATTATGTAACTGTGATTATTTCAAAGTACTACTGAACAAAGTCTTTGATGGTAGTATATTTTAGTAGAAAAGTACTCAAAAATGGTTGAAAATGTGGCCCTCGTAGACGGTGGCCACCAGGGAAACTCCCCAGGCAGACCACCCAGCCTGCCCTCCCTTATGAAAAAGTTAAAAATTGCACGTGCAAGAAACAGATGTGATAAATGAGAATAATAAGATTAAGAATGATAAAAATAATGATGATACTAGCTATAAAAAAAATAATAATTATCATTATTGTTATATTAATAATGATGATGATATGAGTGAACGATTAGGATTTAATACATTATGGAATTTTTTATTCGCTCAGATCATGATCATCTGAGTTTGATCAAAATTACAATGATGATGAAGATGATAATGAGGATTGTACACACGCACATAGAAACACACAGATACACAGACAAACACACATGCATACACAGACAAACACATATAAATATATAATTTTGCTTTTTAGAGAATATTTTATACTTAGCTGCTTATCTGCAATGAATATATGTAAAATAAGTTTACAAGTGGTTATGTTATGTTAACTCGTAACAAATCACTCAACAAATGATAATTTTGAAAAGGGTATCAATGTTTTTGAAGAAAGAACGAAACACGGTGTCATCTGGCAATCATTGTATCAGTTTGGACTCTGTCTAAAAATTAACCATGGAAGTTTTAACAATTGACAAAAAATTCTACACTCCACACTGCATTTACATAGCTGCTGAAAGGTGGAATTTTAATAGAAATTCCTTCTACCTGCAAATTAATCTTCACCTACGTACTGGCAAATAATACTTGCCTCAGGGGTTGTATCCCAACACACCAGGATTCAAAAAAAGGTAGGTGGGTTCTTTGCTCTGGAGCTCTTGACAAAAAAGAGCCTTCTACAATGGGGCTGAAAGGCATTCAAATTTAGACAGAACCGTAGTTTAACTTTTACTTTCCTCAAAATATAATTTTTTTTAATTTTCACTGAAAATTCGGAAAAAGTGGTAAACTTTTTGAAGAGGGTTTTGATCATGAAAATAATAAAGGGGCCTTTGATCCTTCTAATTCCATCAAGAGTTTTCACACTTGCACTTCCAGTCCTACCAACATTTGCTTGGAGAAGATGGGGATCTGACTGACTGTCAGGCAAAAAGAATTTAAACGAGATCAGTGCGAGATAGTAAGAAAAAAAAGAGAAAAAGATAGAAAAAGATAGAGAGAGAGAGAGAGAGAGAGAGAGAGAGAGAGAGAGACTAAATGAAAGGTAGTAAAAGAAGAGAGAAAAAGAAAAAAATATATAAATTATATTAAGGGAAATAAAGAAAGCGAGAGTGTGGGTTAAGAATTTTTACTATGATAACAAAATAAGAATAATAATAACTATAATTTAAGAATAATAATTATTATTATTGTTTTATAATAATGATGATGATGATGATGATGATACTATCGACAATGAAACCTATTCGGATTTATCCCGAAATCAATCAGCATTATGCGTTTGAGATGATGAGGATGGTGACGATGACATCAAACAACTGTCGGATTAATATAGATTGAAATGCTTGCCATGAGAAATTAATCTTGCCGGTACAAAACTGGTGACTGAATTAACCAAAATTTACCCGGAAAAAGGGATAGAGTTATAGGATTGCAATGGGTAACATTTTCAATCAATTTATTTACCACTCGTGCCATATATAAAAAAAAAACATCACTGATTGAGCGGACGATATTAATAGTTTGCATAATTCCACCCCCCACGCCGATTTAACATTTCCATGTCGTTATTTCTAGTTATATTAGCTTTGACAAACAAATAGCAGTGTACATATCATTTTTATTATTAAAATCACAAAGGCTGCGCTCTATACACCAGATACATACTCACCACACATCAACACCATAAGACGAATACACACACACCTACACACTCACGCACACGCACACACATACACTCAAACACATACACACGCAGATAAATGCACTCATACACGCACACTCGAACACAGGTGCACACTTATACAGGTAAACACACACAAAAACACTCACATACACATACATACACACACATACATACACACACACATACTTACACAACTTGTTTGCACGTGCAGACAATTCCCATTAAACATATGATATATGATGGTATTCGAACCATGGAACATCGCGTAATAACAGAGCGAGACATGGCGCTTTTACCGACTGAGCTATTATTAATTTTATTGTATTTGTTGTTCTTGTGAAATTATTTGTATCAATGTTTGTGCTGTTGTCATTGTGTTTGTTGCTGATAATGTTGTTGTTGTTGTTCTTGGTGGCGGTGTTGTTGTTGTTCATATCATTGCTATTATAATTTTGGTTAAATTTTTTGATAATCTCAGGATCTATAGCAGCATTTGTCTACTCCCTAACTGATGAAGATGATGACGACAAAGATGATGATAAAGTTGTCGATAATACGGAAGACGATGATGATAAAATGAGATTGATAATGAATGTGATGATGACGATAACGAAGGTGATAGCAATGATGACGACGACGACGATGATGAAGTTAATGGTGATAATTATGATGGTGAATAAGTTAATGATAACTTGGTGATAGATTAAAACTGGCGTAAAAATTTCGATAGCTGACTAAGGTCCAGTGACTATGGCCAGTGCCGACTCTAGGCACAGACAAGAGAGGGAGCTACCTCGGACGGCACTTTCCTAGCCCCCTCTGTCACCACCAAGAAATAAACGTAATTTAATTATTTTTTCGATCAATATGGCAGAGGCATGATCTAATTTGTAACTTCGTGAAGTTCGAACATGATCAGACGTCCTCTTCTTCTACTTCCGACTGGTCCGTACTAAATGTGGACTTACAATTCTTACAATGAAAATAGTTATCGCTAACGCAATACAAAAAAATGTCAACCAGAACACATTGTTTATTTTCACAGATTTAAAGGTTTTAAAGATCAAATGTTTTTCTTATGAAACTCGAGGTGATACCACTATAAATCCGAGAGGTAGATTTAAATTGAATGTTTTAATTGCATTTTGGATAGTGTTATAAGTTTAATTGAAGAAGGTGATGTTTTTCTATTCCCGCACAATATTGCATGTATTAAAAGAGATTATTCATAGGAATGTTTTAGAGAAAAATGTTTACATCTTCCCTAAAATATTAAACACGGATACTTCTGCAGATATTGATAGCATGGAACTATTTGATGAATTGCTTGCATTGTCTGGATTAATTGAACCAAAAACGTCACCATTAAAAGTACTGGAGTTTATTTTAAGAAACAATTATTCCACTCCAAATATTTTTATCGCATTTCGAATTCTGTTAACACAGGCAGTGTCTGTTGATTCTGGAGAGCGTAGTTTGTCAAAACTGAAGTTAATTAAAGATTACTTAAGATCTACTATGTCACAAAATCGTTTGACAGGTCTATCTTTACTTTCTATAGAAAGTGATATTGCCAAAAAAATAAATTTTACTGAACTATTGAAGGCTTTTGCATATGGAAAGAGTAGGAAAGTAAATTTCTCTTACTAATTCATGTTGAAATATGCCCATTTTGTATGTAATTTGCTCGTTTTTTGTGTTTGTACTGTTTGGATTTAATGTCTTGCAAATATGCGAGTTTGTACGCCACTCAAAGTTTAACTTTAAGGCATTTATTTAATATATTGGGGCTTTTAAGTTAAGGGTGGCAAACTGGGATCTTGCCTGGGGCTGCCAAAAACCTTGAGCCGACACTGATTATGGCCATAAGGTTGGTAATGACGGTGGTGAGAAAGCATTAAAATAATAATTATTGTAGCAATTATTTCATATTTTTGAAAACAATTTAAAAAAATTTTTCCTTTTTCATTGACGATCAAACATTTAATGCACATATTAGGTTTTCGCTAATCAATTTATCAAAATGTTTGATTTTTTCAATCATTAACGAATCAATGCAGATTTATTATTCCTTACTGAAATACTATTCACTCAGTAATTTATATTTAGCTATTACTTTGTACATTTGCACTGAAAAATATGTATGTAGTATGTACGTGTGAGTATAGGGAGTTGTGATGAGATTATTTTCTATATAAGCGCCAGCGAATAGCGATTAATTACATCCGAAATTGTCTAGCAAGACATTCCTACTACTACTACAACAACAACAACAGTGAATATCTTTGTGAGATATCTGAGAAGATGATGATGAAGTTGATGTTTGTGGCAATGGTGGTTGGGCTGAAGATGGCGATGGTGCCCGCACAGTTTTCTGGTGAGAAATTGAAAAATATTTTTCTGCTTTTATTTGCTAAGTCTTGGTAATTTATGTACTAATTCCTGTATAATTTGGATCCCGTACAAAAACAGGAAATGGCTTTGGAGGTAGTGGCGGTCCTGGAGCTGGTGGTAACATGGGGTCAAAAAGCGGTCCTGGAGGTGGTGGTAACATGGGGTCAAATAGCGGTCCTGGAGCTGGTGGTAACATGGGGTCAAATAGCGGTCCTGGAGCTGGGGGTAACATGGGGTCAAATAGTGGTCCTGGAGCTGGTGGTAACATGGGGTCAAATAGCGGTCCTGGAGCCGTTTGCAGTGGTAACATGGGGTCAAATAGCGGTCCTGGAGCTGGTGGCATTGGTAACATGGGGTCACCTAGCGGTTCTGGAGTACCCGCGTCTCCAGCTTCTGGATCTGGAAGTGAGGTTGGAAGCGGCTTATGGAACAATAACAAAAGATCGGAGGAATCCTCTGGCAGTTCCGAGTCAGCGGACGACAGTGGTGATGTTTTTGAATAATTCAATCAGTTATTTCTTATTCTTGTCAGTTGCGTTTTAATTTGATTTCTTACGATAAAAAGTATTTTAATATATATTAAATTTATTCAATATTTTTACTAGTCTGAATGTTATGTAATTTTCATGTTTCAATCAAAATATCTGGCTCACTGATTTTTTCAAAAATTAATTTTTACGACTTGAAAAAAGCGAACTCGAAAAACTAAGAGAGATATTAAAAGATTTCAAATATAAAGAATTATGTCGAATTCGATGCCGAATTTAATAAATAATCTATCTAATTATCAAATTTAACAAACTAAACAGGTAGCTATGATCAGAATTTTGAGGTAATTGAATTTTTTGCCGAAGAATATTCTCAGAGTTTGAACTATACTACTGAGGACATTGACCTCAACAACATGTTTGAAAAATATAAGAATGCGATAAACTACAGTGGTATTTTGTTTTAAATATTTTTTAAATTCATACCTTCCATTGCATTGATTGTGTTCTTAGGTTAAGCCATCAAACCTCTCTTATATCGATTTCATTTATATGTTTGAAAATATTTTTGAATTTGCAAATGTAAAGCATCGTCTAAGTCTTTACAACTTGTACAAGCACTAGTTTAATCATGTGCAACGTTTTAAAAATTCTATTTGATATGCTCATCTCACAAAACTCGCCAACCATTTTGAATATTAATAACATTCTAATCAGCCAAACACCTTGAATAATTTCTTAAATAATTCATCCAACTCATTAAATTAACAGACAAAACAGGCGGCTCTGAAATTGACTTTGACCTTATAGCAGGATTCTTGAACAAAGTAATCAAGGATTTGAACATTTCCACTGAGACTTTAACTTCTCAGGAGGTTAAGGATATGTACAATCAATTGATGCAGGATGACTCCAGGGCTAGTGGAGATAAGAAATGATGTCCAGAAAGTTCTAGATCGGAGAATTAATGACTATAATGTAGAATTTTATATTTTAATGACAAATTTTATAGGCTTCGGTTTGAGAAAAAAAAACCTGAAACTTTATTTTAAAATTAAATTCAAATCTAAAATATTATTTTGAAAATTTAACAATTATCTGAACATTTGTTTCAATAAAATCATTCTGCAATTAATTCTTACAAAGTCTTCTAAATAAATAAATAAAGAATAAAAATTTTAACTTGAAAGAAGGTTTTGCCAGACAGACTGTCATAAAACCAAAACACGCTCCTACACAACATTTTGACCAGTCTTACTATTTATAAATTTTTACCATTGCTACCTACAGAGTTTTTCTATTTAGAACATGCATTCAACAAAGGTTTGTAAATCCTCTATTTATTGTTCTCAGTGCATTTAAGCCGTAGTCTTGTAACAAAAAATTATTTTAGTCCTTCATAATGCAGCTCTGTCAAACGTACAACTGCTTAAAATTTAACATTTGTCCTTCAAAGTCTGTACGCAAAACGTATGATAGTATTTTAGTTTCGGACAGACAGTATTCGAACCAGGGCATTGCATCATAATAACGAGAAACATGGCACTTTTTCCGACTGAGCTAACTTACCAACAGAACTGACGAGTCGTGTTACAAAGTTTGAAGGCCTTGATGAAGATGAAAAGATATTTAGAGAGAAACTTACACCTTTAAAATCTGTCTTCCATTTTGCGTGTTTTTGATTTTATGTGGGATCTAAACCTTATTTAAGCTTTCCACAGTAGTTTTCATTCTGGCGGTTGATTACTTTGCGAGTTATTTATTGGGGTGGTAGTAAATGTTTGTGAAGGTAGACGAATTCAATTTCAAGGCGTGGTTGAAAAATTGTCAGCTGCTCAAGGAGTTTTAAATCGGTGTCTATTGATTGGTACAGTGAATAAGTTTACAAATTTTGAGGTTATGACTGAAATGTTTGAGTAAATTGAATTTTAAAAAGTACATTCTACAGTGATAACTAAAATAAACTGTTTTTAAGACAAAAATATTTTCAGAAAAACCAAAATAAAAAATAAAAATATTTAAATTTCGATGTTTCAGCTGTTGTTACTCCCATTTTCAAAACATTTTTATGATCTAAAACGTTTCCAACAAAAATGTGGGATAAGCAATGAAATGGTACCCATTTTTTAAAAAAAGGTACCCTATTTTCATTAAAAAAAAACTTTTTGATTTCGTAAATATCTAGGGTCCTTGCTCCATCTAGCCTCAAAATCTCAAACTTCAAAGTCTTCAAAATCCAAGTCAGAGTGTCGAAGAGACAGAATTTATGGGAAAATAACCAGAGAGAAAGAGAGAGAGATGGAGAGAGAGTGAGAGAATGAATACGTAAAATGAGTTAATAAACAGGACTTTCCACAATTTTAAATACGAATATTATAATACCAATAGTTATTAATAAATTTTTATGATGATAGAAATAACGAAAATTACAGCCCTAATACTAATAATTTGGGATCCCTCCAAGAATAATCAAAGACCTTTGCTAAAATATAATCGTATCAGGTCCGTTTGTATCATGTATGTTTGTCCGTTCAACAGCTTGTTGTTGTTCACCAAATATACAAAGCTAAAAAACATTGAATTTTAAATAAACAGGTATATTAATAAGAATAGGGACAAATTTCAGGTAGGACTGCCTCGAGGTCTGTCTCTCCACAAAAGGGATATCCACACCCTAGCTTAATTTCTATCGTGGGGGGGTCTCAAGTCTTATCTTGCCTATACCGCTGCTAGATAAAGGATTAAGAAACATTATTATAGTTATAATAATTCTAATTTAACTGTTGGTGATGATAACAAAATTTAAAATAAAACAACAATAATAATAACAAAACAATTATATTAATAATAAATAATAACATTAATAATAATAACTAATTCAATAGATTGAAATTTCCGATAGCATAATGAAACGATCAATTAGATTGAATTATATACACAAAGCAGATAAGAAATTTTTCTATCCATATAGAGATGTTGATAAAGATGATGACGACGACGACGACGATGCAAATGATAAGACTGATAACATGTGTTATCATGATGGAGTAATTGCGATATATAATAATGAATGACGATTTTTCACGGACGCTAGCCTAGTACACTGGCCTGCTTCAAATGCAAGTTTAGTCGTTTAAAAAAATCTTTCATACATATCTGTCAGAAATATGTGTTTCTGTTAAAAGTTTGAATGTGTGTGTACGTGTGTATGTGTTTGTGTGTGTGTATGATGTGTGTGTGCTTATTTTTGTGTGTGTTTGTGTGGTTCGATGTTAAACGTCGTCTTTTCAGACACGAGTCAACCTTAAAGCTAAAATAACGTAAACGCTAATACAAGACAATTTGGCAATCTAACCGAAAAATATTTTTTCTAATTATACTTATAACTACAATTATTATTATTATTATTGTTATTATTATTATTATCGTTATCATTTTTATCATTATTTTCATCGTCGTCGTCCTCTTCATCTTTTTTATTGAAAATATCAATATTAAATCTTACATAGGATGAATGCATTTTTATCGTCTCAAAATATTTTAAGTTTTTAACGGTTTGTAAAAAAGAAGATGCTGGTGATGATCGTTATAATGATGGTGATAATGATGATGGTGACGATGACGACCGGCTAGAATGATGATGATGGTGGCGATGGTGGTGAAATTGTAATGATGAAACTTGTGATAAAAATGGAAAATGGCATGCGATTAGTTGAGAATCTCTTTCCATTTGAACCATGTCACTGCAGCAACGCGGTCATGCAACTTTCTTGAAAATTTAATATATGTAAGTGATATTTATTTTCTCTAACTTGTTAAATTTCTACATTGGTTACTACTCTCTTTTACTTGATCTTTTCGCATGAGGTTAAAGGTTTAAAGGTCAATCTCTCATGGGCACCTGCATCGGAGGTCACCGTGAAACCTTACCATGGCAATGAAGTTGATGAAGAAAATGGTGATGAAAATTATGAAAAATAAATTTTAACAACAACTTTTCATTCATCTGAAAAAAAGATTTTGTACATTTCATAATTCGTTCGTCAATTCGTCAATCAATTTGATTTTCCCAACCGTTTATCGACTCAAGAAATCCATGTAGCTTACAACTTACTCTTTCTTTAGTTATTAAGATACCAAGTATAACTTGTTCACAATTTAATACTGAAAATACGTATAATTGTGTCAATTTATATTAATGTATATACATAACAGACGTAACTGAATTTTCTATAAAAACGCCCGAGAGCAGCGTTAAATTACATACAAACTGTGGCCTGCTAGACGTGGGTACAGCTAAAAATTTAATATTTTAACAGAAAGAAGATGAAAAAGACTATGGTCATGGCGATGATGGCGACTGTGGCGATGGTAGTGGCGATGGTGGGGCCCGCAATGCCTGCAAGCCTTTTTGAAGCTAAAGCAAAAAGTAAGACGAAGTTAATTAAGTTGGTCTATGTAGTTGAATAATTAATTTTGTAACAGTGTACAGACGATATTTTTATATAATGTAGTATTTCTGTAATGGTGAAGTAATTTTGCATTGATGGTGTAACTTGCATCAGCAATGTGATTTCGTAACACCCCAAACAGGAAATTACTTTGATTCGGCAGACGATGGAGGATACGACTCATTTGGTAAAATTTTAAATTTTCCATTTGATATACATTTTTCAGTTTAATATGCATCCTAATATTGAAAAAGTTAAAAATACACGATATTTGATAATTTTTCAAATCGACAAATCAACAGCATTTAATTTGACGCTGAGATAGATCATAACCGAAAATAATTACTGAACTTTTTAAAGCAATGAATTAACTTTAAACATTTAATCACCTAAACTAACAAACAAAAACAATTCAGGGGAATTCGAAGACGCAGAGCTGGTTATTGCCATAGGAAAAACCCCAAAGGTTCAAATTAAAGTTGTTGAGCATAAAAGAGACGATGAACCAGATTTCTCTGGCTACTACCCATATTATTCCGGCTACTCCGGTTACTCCGATTATTCCGGTTACTCCGGTTATTCCGGCTACTATCCAGATTACTCCGGGTACTCAGGTTATTCCGGTTACCCAGATTATTCCGGTTATTCTGGCTACTACCCAGATTACTCAGGTTATTCCGGTTACCCAGATTATTCCGGTTACTCTGGTTATTCCGGCAATTTTGGTTATTCCGGCTACTATCCAGATTATTCCGGTTATTCTGGCTACTACCCAGATTATTCCGGTTACTCTGGCTACTACCCAGATTATTCCGGTTATTCTGGCTACTATCCAGATTACTCAGGTTACTCCGGTTATTCCGGTTACCCAGATTATTCCGGTTATTCTGGCTACTACCCAGATTACTCAGGTTACTCCGGTTACCCAGATTATTCCGGTTACTCTGGTTATTCCGACAATTCTGGTTATTCCGGCTACTATCCAGATTACTCCGGTTACTCTGGTTATTCCGGTAACTCTGATTATTCTGGATACAACCCAAATCATTCCGGCTACTCCTCTGGTTATTCTGGCTATCCAGATTATTCCGGTTTTTCTGGCAGCGATGGCGGAGATGAAAGTGGTTACAGTTCCTCTGGTTACGATGGCAGTGGTGAAAAGAAATAAAATGTTGTATCAAACTATTCCATCACTCGGTGACAGCAGCACGCAATGAATATTATGCCAACTGCAGTTTAAAAATACTTGAGACATTCTAATTTATTCCTAATTGAACATGCAAAATTGCCGAACGTTTTGAAATGTTTTAAATGTTTGAAGTGATTTTAATAAAACATTTTTTGATTAAAAAATTTGTTTGGAGTTTTTTTTCATAACGGTATAAAGATGAAGTCGATATGTTTAAATAATACAAAACTAGCAGCCATATGTAATGGAAGTAGTAGCAGCAACTTTAGTACCGTTAAAAGTAGTAGTAGCAGTAGTAGTAAAGTAGCAGCAGCAGTAAAAGTAATACTATTAACAATTTAAACAATGTGTACGTCGTAAGTTTCTGCACAGCCGATTTCATACACACGTACCTAACACAAACTCCTAATAAAAAACTTTTTTTATTCGCAGCCAGGTAAAAACTAAAAAATGTCGCTATTGATATAGCTCCTCCCACTCATCATCCTCCAATCCTCATCGCCATCATCATTCCATCCTCATCATTCCATCCTCATCATTCCATCTTCCTCATCATCATCGTGCCAAATATCTTTCAACCATTATCACCAACGTCGTCGTCATATCATCGCTACTGTAAGGAGTTTTAAATACGAAAATTATACGTTTAAGTTAAAATCTTTACTAAAAGCGATTACAATAAATTATGGCTATAATTATCTATTATTATTATATATTATTAATTATTATTATTTTGTTGAAATCATCATTATCACATTTGAGAAATAAAAAATGTTAATGAAAACCTTCAAAAAAAGTATATATATATATATATATATATATATATATATATATATATATATATATATATACATGTAAAAAATTCGTGCAAACAAATTGTAAATGTATATATATATATATGTATGTGTGTGTGTGTGTGTGTGTGTGTGTGTGTGTTGTGTGTTGTGTGTGTGTGTGTGTGTATAACTCACACCATATCTAAATTTTTGTTAGAAGTTTTCATTACAAATTTCCCTTTACGTAAATTTTTATCATTATTATTATTATTATTATTATTATTACTATTATCTTTAACTATGACAAAGGCATCAATTGGTATGGGTGGTCTGTTTGAATTTTCATTCGCAACGTTACTATCTCCAGGGGTATTAACTTGGATGTGTCTAAAATTATCATTATTATTATTATTGTTATTATTATTATTATTATTATTATTATTATTATTATTATTATTATTATTAGTAGTAGTAGTAGTAGTAGTAGTAGCAGTAGTAGTAGTAGTAGTAGTATTGCTATTTTTATTATCATTATAATTATTATTATTATTATTACTACTACTATTACAAGCTACAGTACTGACACTTTCGAAGTTATTTGAATTACTGAGCAAAGTCGCAGGTGTAGTAGCAGCCGTTGCAGCAGCAGTAGTAGTCGTAGTAGTATTAGTGTCTACGGTAGTGGCCGTAGTAGCAGTAGTACTGGGTTCTTGCGTTGAAGTATTATTTGCAGTATTATTAGAGGTGTGAATTGACGGATTGTTAACATCGTAAGAGTAAGTTGTAGAGTTAGTATTATCATTGTCGATACTAACTGAACTAGTATAGTCATTGTCATTGCTAATTGTAGTACCAGCAGTAGAAACAGGAGTGTTTGAATGTAATTTGTCGCTAGGTGGTAGAAGATTCGATGTTAATGAGTTTGAGATTGATTCGTTTATCTCGTCATCTTCGTCGTCGTCGTTGTTGTTAATTTTGTTGTTGTTGTTAATTTTGTTAGTGTTGTTGTTGTTGTTGATGTTTTTGCGGTTGATTGAGCTGCTAGTGTCGTTACCGTCCTCACCACGTGTGCCGCCAATGTTCAATGGCTGACCATCGCCGGGACTTGAGAGATTTTTACATCTAAGATTAGTTTCACCGACACCACCACCATATACAATTTTTGAACCACGATCGACCGGAGCTGCACCGCCAACAATATCGCCACCATTACGACATCCACTCACTGTAGTTGCATGGACAGCAGTAATCGTAGCAATGTTATTGTCAGGGTCGACAGTTGTGGTAGTTGCGTTACTTGAAGCAGCTGCCGTGACTCCACCATCTGCCAGCGACGACGACGACGACACTTGAGGCGAGGAGGATGACGAGTACCCCGAAGAAATTACACGCAACGAAATTTCATCATCCAAAACGTTCGAAACTCCGCCAACCGAGGCAGTAGTCGTCGTTGCAACCGTTTTGCTTGACGATCTTCTGGAAGAGCCATTCCGCCAGTCCTTGCCGCTTGATTTTCTACCGCTGCCAGGTGCTGCCAGCTCTCGCGGGTATGGCGGCGGAAGAATTAAACCGTTTCCCGGTAAACTAACCGTATTACCGTCATAGAATCGAACAGCTGAACCGGTATCCTCTTGATCGACTAGTCGTATAGCCGTGGTAGTCGTGGCAGGACCGTCGGTATTGGACTCCGCTTCGACGGTCGATTCGACAACAAGAGCATACGGAGGAGGAACATCCCTACGAACTCCGAAACCTCTCAAACCTCGTCCGGTACTGCTAGTTGGATCGTCCGGATCTTCGGTTCTCGGCTTGCGTCTGCTGTAGAGGAAGACGGCGAACATGATGATGCCGATGACGAGGAGGCAGGCTGTGACTGCGAGAACCACACCCAGAACTATTGACCACTCTGTCAGCGGTTCAACAATTTCATCGTTTATCAATTCATAATTCTTGAACATTTTTTAACTTTTGTCATTTAACGGTTTTGAATATATGAGAAGAAATACTTAAAAACAAAACATTTCCGCTAATTGAACCACGCATGAACAATTACTGTTGGCAATTGTAATTGAAAATTAAGAACAACAAAGACTATTAACCGTCTGGTTGACCGTCTGGTTCATCTTTGCTATCTGTTAAAAATTTTGAAAAATCCAGTAGATAATAAAGTCATAATTTCAAATTTTTTTCAAGTTTGATTACAAACTAAAGTCTACATTCACCAAGCTCAAAACTTTCATCTCACTACTTGAGCAAATTGAAACTTATTTCATCCCTCTCCTATCTGCACAGATCCATATCTTCTCACTCCTATTACTGCTCAGTCTTCTCTACAAAACCACAATCCATTTCACAAACTCAAAATATAAATGGAACCACCAAGTCTTATTTGGTTGGTCTTGTGGAAATGTGGGAACTGAATCTAACCATGCGAATGATCGAAACAGCCGGTTGAGTTGTGGTAGTACCAGCTGATACTCATCCACCAGGCTTTCTGCCATTCCGTAGAGTTCTGTGCACACTTTCTCGAAGAGTTCAGGGCATTGGACATGCAGTTTCCATACAGATCTTCAACTCTGTGAATGGGATAATGAAAGTGTGTGAGTGCGTGTGTGCGTATGTGTAGGTATGTATGTATGTATGTGTGCTTGCGTGTGTGTGTGTATAAGGCATGTACAAGTATACGTGTATAAAAATCATCATTCCATCATCATCATCATTATTATCATCATCACCACAACAAACTAACTTGCATTTGAAGTCATTAACGTTGTAAACTGAACGATTATTGACCAAATTGAGAGATGAAACTTTCCACTTGTTACAAACCTCAGCCTGACTGACTACGAAGGGATCAAGGAAACATGACTGGTAGGCTTCGTACTCTAATGCAGGCAGGCAGAGGGGAGGAGCAAAGAAACATGAATAAATTATAATAAATTATCATAAATTTGATGGATTGTAATGAATTGTATGATGTGTAACATATTTTAATGAATTGTAACGAACTGTAATGAGCTGTAATGAATTTTGTGCGTGTCTTATATATGTGTTCAAGTGCTCCAACCTCTCAAGTTATCGCTGACACTGCAAAATATTTTCATGGTCTTCAAAGCCCCAAGGACAAGGTCATCATCATCGGTCATGGTGACTATATTCGACCAGTAAGGGTTTAGGCAGTCAGTGAAATTTTTGTAAACGCTGTAAAATTGAACTTAAGTTTTAATGACTGTATATGTATGTAATCAGAAATGTATGTAATGTAATAAAATGTAAGGTATGTAATATAATGTAATGTGGTGTTTCATTTATGTAATGTAATGTATGTATGAAATTTATGTAATATAATGTAGAATGTTGTTAAAAAAAGACATCTTAAACATAATATTTCAGTCAAATTAAGATAATTATCATAAAATTGTTTTTCAGTAAGCACTGGCTATTATATTTCAGATTTTAAAAAATCTTACAAAAAAAGATTTAAAACAAAGAATATACAAGAACAAAAATAGAAACAAAGAATACATACACGCATTTTTCTTTCAGTGAATTTTCAGTGGTGTTCCATACAGGTAAATCGACTGCAAAATCGGTGAAGCTGATGTTGTGGCTTTTGGCTAGCCTGAAACAATGAACCGTGTCGTTGAAGATGATGTTACCACTGATGACTTTGTTGTTGAAGTAAAATTTGGTGTCGTTGCTGTTGTTGATGCCAGGTTCTGTGGCGTCATTTGTGTTGTTGTTGTTGTTGATGGTGACGATTTTGTCATTATTTAAAATGACGTTGTTATAAACGGTGGCTGTTTTGTTGTTGTTGCTTGGATTAGTAACGTTGTTGTTATTGTTGTTGTTGTTGTTGAGGTCTTGGTTAGAGATCACATCTACAATTAAAATGGTTAATTAACTTTTACAATTAATAAAGAGTGAAATTCTGACAAAAAATTCAGTTAAAAACAACAAAAAAAAAACCCCTTACCTGTCAGGATGTGACAGAAGATGAAGAGGCCCCACAACAATTTGTAAACCATTTTTTCAGATTTCATATCAAAAAATTAAGTTATTTTTCTTATTTATTAGCAGTCTGTTTCTTTACTTCAGTATTCTGAAAATGAAAAGACAAAAGAGTTTATATAGAAACCAGAACATTTAATTATGTAGGAAAATAATAAATATTGATAAATTACAAAATAAAAAGTTTAATTTTTTTATAGTTTAAACAAATAAGATCTTAATCAATTTATTATGCATTTTTTTCTATTAAACAGTTATATCATTATACCCATATGCCATGGAGAGAGAGAGAGAGAGAGAGAGAGAGAGTTATCCAATTTATCAACAAATCAAGATAGATTTAACATACAACATGTTCAAAAAACACATCTCTTTTACACACTCACACACACACACACACACACACACACACACACACACACACACACACACACACACGCACGCACGCACTCGCACAGAGAAGCGTTCAAACACAAACCAACTAACAAAAGAACAAACACACATAAATATTTTATAAATTTTTAACTGCCTTACTTCAAAATCAACACACTTTAATTAAAACAACAGACCATATACATAAACACACAAGACACCACTTACATACATAAAAACTCTTAAACATTACTTTTTAAAAAATTTACATCTACAAGCATGAAAAAGTCACGCTTAAAACTAAAAAATAAAATAAAATCTTAACATTCTAAAAAGTGAACTTAAGTTACCAAAAAAATAATCCATATATCTCCCCACTTTTAACATTAATTTTTATATAAATATATTATTAAAATATTCATAATTATACTTATATAATTAACTACAATTACAAGACCACATTGAACAATACAAATAACTTTAAACAACAGCTGGCTAGCCTACAAACCAACCAACTAACTAAACCTAACAATGCAATAACAATTGGAAGGCACCCTTAGTAAGCTTATATATAGATTTCATGATCTTCATGTTGTTATTATTGCTATTATTATTATTATTATTATTATTATTATTATTATTATTATTATTATTATTACTCATAATAATCTTTTTCTTAAAATAATTATTAATATTATTATTAGAAGTTATTATTATTAGCAGCAGCAGCAGTAGTAGTAGTAGTAGTAGTAGTATGAATGTCACTGTTAACAAATATCTTTTAACTTGAGTTTAGTCCCATAGAATATGGCATTACATATACACACACAAACACACACGCACGCACGCACGCACGCACGCACACACACGCACACACACACATACATACACAGGCACAGATATGTCCGTCATCATTCATTTGTTCCAGAAGTTCATTCCTTTAGCAGCTGGTTCAGTAACTTTGTTCCTATTCATTCATTCGTTCATGATGTTCATTGTTCATTCGTTTTTTCATTCATTCATTCATTCATTCATTCATTCAATCATTCATTCATTCATTCATTCATTCATTCATTCATTCATTCATTCATTCATTCATTCATTCGTTCATTTATTAATTCACCCAAGTTAATTTGTGTGTATGTGTAAATAATAATAAGAAGTAATGACTAAATCATCATGTGCGTTAATCATCATCCATTATATTAATCATCACTTCTCAAAAATTATATGAAAATACTAGTCTATATGAATGAACTAATGAAAAAACAAAATGAGTGAATGAATGAATGAACGAACGAACGAACGAACGAACGAATGAATTAATGAACTAATGTATGAATGAATGAATGAATGAATGAATGAATGAATGAATGAATGAATGAATGAATAAACGGATGAATGAATAAACGGATGAATGAATAAACGGATGAATGAATAAACGGATGAATAAACGGATAAGTAGATGTTTGGAGCTATTAGTAAGAATACTAATTATTAAGTTACTAAGTCTGGCTTTATTACCAAAATGTTTAACTAAGAATTATACCATCATTTATTTCCAAAATATAACCCAGAGACCTAAATTACTTTTAATTAATTAATTTCTTAGCATTAATTTAATAATAAAAATAATCAATGATAATACAAATAAGTAATGTAATTGAGGCTTGAACTTTATTCTTCAAGATATAAGTAACGTAACTGGTCAACTACTGATAGTAACTAATTTAATAAGTAATACTGTACTTTAGCTAGATATACTATAATATACTATTATATAATTATTATATTATAATACTATACCATATTATACTCAATCAATTAATAACCAATCAATTAGTTTATAAAGCACTATTTCTATGATGTTCAACAGCGCTCCTCAATGATTTTTGCAAACAGATGTGCTTGAAATCCGCTCTGAACTTCATAAGTGATGGAGAAGTAGTCAGAGAAGGAGGTAGAGAGATCTATAGAAAAAGGCTAGAAAAGGCATATGCAGATTTAGCAAAAGAGTGTTTAACATGAGTTAAGAAGACAATCGTAAGCCGGGCGTTTAGGTTCAATACTATACCATTCCATACCATACTATAATATACTATACTATATACCATACTGTACTACAATACACACCTATACTAATCAAGTAATTAATAAAAGTTTTGCAAAAAATCAAATGAAATAAAATTGAAAAAGAATTAAAAAACATTATTGTATTTGAAAGAGAAACTAACTTCCTTCTTTTTCTTCTTCCTCTTAATAATGGCTGTCTGACATTCAGACAAGTTCAAATCTTTCTTTCCTATTTCTTCTTATTATACAATTCTTCCTAATTTTCTTTAATATGATTTCTTTTCTATTAAAATTAACTCAACTTGCTTCTAGGAAAATTTAATAATAAGAATTTATGTTAATTTACCTAATAAAAACTAAACTGCAGTCAAAATTTTTTCAATTTATTTTATTAGTAAATTAGTAGTAAAAACTATATTTTACTCTATTATTTATTAAATTCATTATTCAATTATTGACATTATTTTGTTTAATTTAATATTATATTTCCACAAATTGTTTGTTTATTATTGTGTTGTTCCTATCATTAAAATAAAATTAAACTCAGGTGTGAAATCAACTAAAATGACATTTTGTAGCGATTTCTATCAGAAATTTTGTTTTTTTTTAACTTTTAAGCAATATTATTAAAACAAAATGGTAATTTAGTTTTTGTAACGTAAAAAAACAACTAAAAATATGAAGTGAAAGTTTACTTTTAATTTTGAAAAAATAAATGATGTACATCTCTATAAATTTATTTCCATGGTGATTAATTAGCTTCTATCTACCTTTATGTCCAATGAAAGATTTTTGAACGTTTCAAACATCTTGTTTTGAATCATGTTTTTACAAAATAAACTACTCATTCTATTATTTTTTATACTTTTTCCTTGCTAGATGTTGGATATTGCTAGCAAATAGTAAAAAAAATTTTCAACTTGTGTGCTCATAATATCACATTTCTAGCTACTACTAGCTTACTTCTTACTAGACTAAGGAGTATCAGTTCAGCTAAATTTTCCATCCAACATTTCAATTTGTTTGTATCCGCATTTTTAACTTCTAATAATTAAGTTTATTACAAAGCAGGAAAGTGTTATTTGAGACTTTTTTAAGAGTTTTAAATGGGTATTTAATTTTTAAAATGTCAACTAATGTTAAAGTTTTTTAATCGCACACGAAATACAGCACACACACCCGTATTTATGTATTATATACACTGATATTTGTTACAACAACATTCTACATAACAGCAAATTACAGCATAGATTTCAAACGAAGAGCAATAGAAAAAGTTTGAAGTAGTTCAAATTGCAGTCTCTCTTCACACAAATCACCTCCCGCAAAGACACAAACATCCTAAGTAGCTTGGTAGCTAAGTGGCTTTGTCTGATTGTTTGGTCTGAGTACAAATAGCCACATTGCAGAGAGCATGGTGGAGTACGTACGTACTTACACTTCCCAGCAAGGTTCTTTTGGCCTGCCCCAAGCTTCTCGTACCCATGATGATCAGGTCTGCCTTCTTCTCAATCGCACGGTCGACAACCTCCTGTCCAACGGATTTGGTACACAGTTTCGTCGTTACGTCACCCGTTATCTGGAGGTGCAAGTGAACATTTTAAAGGCGTGGTTAGTAGAAATTTTCTATGTCGATATGATTATCTTTTAAATTTAAAAAAAAAAGATAAAAATAATTTTTTTTTACCTACATTAGAATTTTTTAACTTTTCCGAATATTTCGCTGCAATCTGTTCGGCTTCTATCTTCTTTTGATTGACTGCATGCTGGTACTTGGTAAAGCCGCCTTGGTGAACATAATCTGAAAATGAATTAGTGATGTGCAGACTGAACTGGGACGTGTTTTGAAAGGATGGTATATCTAAAAAACTTTGCAAACATACAAATGTTCGTACACAATTATTGACTAAGTTATAATGCGTCTTCTATATAAAATAAAACGCTATTATTATTATTAGTATTATTAAAAAAGTAGATAAAGCATTTTCACGGCGAGGTCGTTGAATACAGATCAAAATCTTAATGGCAAATTTAAGCAGAAGGTGGAGATGACGTGAAAAAATTTGTGAAGGACTTGAAATAAATGTAAAAATAAAAATGCAACATACTTTATTTACAGATTTTCGCAAAAATAAAAGAAAAAAAATAAATACAGAGCAACAACAGCAAGAAACTAAATATTCTAAATTTAAGAAACAAATTTTTTGTAATTTATAATTTAAGAAAAACTCAACCTCCTTCCATTTTTTTAAGCTCAAATCTCACCTTCCTAATTCAAGATCGGGTATTTTCATTTAATACACAAAATGCAAAGTGCTACACACACAGAGACACACACACACACACACACACACACACACACACACACACACACACGCAAACATACAATTAAGTCAATACGGTAGGATTAGCATCTGTTACAAAAAAAAATATTTCAAATCGTCAATAAAACCACGCACATATTCATACCACACCTTAACAAATATACTTGTGCCGGCGAAGATAACAACACCAAAAAACAAAATCACATATACAAAAAAACATGCATATGCAAACATGCATATGCAAACACACATACAAACAAACACACACATACGCACGCACACGAATGCGCAACTATGCAATAAGGCGCATATAATCAGGTGATTAAACTGTCCACACACGTTCACTCAGAGAGAAAGATAGAGAGAGAGAGAGAGAGAGAG